GGGCACGGACGGTGACAGAATCGCCCCCCACACCGAAGTACCGAGCCCAAGTTTGCCGAGGAGGCCGGCAGCGGGTTTACCTGTCCCTCCTACCGCTCCCCCCCCTCAGCCGGTTCCGAGCAACCGCAGCAGCGCTAGCTGCGGCTCTCCCGCCCCGGTCCCATCTCCGCTCTGCGCCGCGCACGGCCCCAGACAACCACGTATTATGGACGGCCCGGAGCGCCGCTCGCCGCCGCTCCGTGCCTGCGCAATGCAGCCGCCGCCACAGCCGCCACAGAGGGGCGGCGGGACGCGCTTGGCCGCGCCGCTGCCCGCGCACACACACCCCGCGGGTGGCTCCCCGGGGAGGAATGCCGGGCCTGGGCTTCCCCCTCAGGGCAGCGGTGAGGAGAATCCCCTCAGACCTCCCCACCACCACCGGGGTGACCTCCCTCCCGCCAGCGGGGTGTCCTCCGTGGGTGGCGGGAGCAGGAGGGGGCCGTGGGCTGCATCTCTAATGGCCACCGTCAGCTTCCCCCCCCCCCGACACTTTTAACCGGCCTTGAAAAATGGGGAGACTCGGTGCCGCGTTATTTGTCCGGTCAAGGGCGTAGACATCACCAAAAAAAAGTGATTTATGAGCTGCAAAGAATAAGGCGCTGAGGTCCGGGGGGGTTGAGGGAATATCGTCAGTCAGCAGGAGGCCCAGCGGGATTTTTGGAGACCAAGGGCCAAGCGTCCGCGTCTTGGGCCTGCCCTGAGAGCAAAGGGTTGGCTGGTCGGTGGGGAAAAGACTTAAAAGTAAGAAAGTTTGGGGAATTAAGGAAGTTAGCGAGGGAAGGGTTAGAGAGCATGGCAAGGCGCTGAGAGCTGGAGATGGTAAAATGTTTCCCGCAAAGCGGCAATATGCAATTCCTCTGAAAATGAGAATGCGAAGGGCAAGAATGCTAAAGAGTCATTTCAATGCTCTGTACTGAAATACGGACAGAAATAGGGTATCGTTGCATGCAGGAAAATTGGAAGTGCGTTAAAGCAAAATGGGGTAGTATTAGCCAAAGGAAAAACAAGGTCTTTTTAAAGGGCTTAAATCAGTACGTGAAGAAGGTGGTGAGATTAATGGTGGTTTCATTAATAGCAATGCTCAAGCTCCTTTCCTGCGTTTGATGAGGACAGTAAGTTTGGGCAATTGCAAACTAGGAATCATAAAAATAGCTATTAAAAAAGAGCTTACTTGCTCGTGAGAGATTACATTTGGAGGAAGAAATGCTGGTTTCAGTGGATTTCATCCTATCCTTCCAAAGCTGTTACGCCTTTCTTGCTTCAAGTAACGAGTGATGCCAAAAGTGGTTCCCCGGACCTGAGCAGGGCTACTTCCCCAGCAGTATGCTATTCAGCGAGTGCTTGGCATACCCCAGCCCAAGTCAACTAACAAGGTAATAAACTGACAATTATTTGTGAAAAACCAGGAAAATACAGTGAAGTGATAAATGAGTGAAAAGCGGGATAGAGCATCAGTCTTAAAACAGATTTCCTGATGGATTGTCCTGTAAGACTCACACCAGATTTACATGTAGTATGACAGTTAGGACTGAATGCTGCTTTATCCCAGATCAGGAACATGTCTTCTATAGAAAAAGCAATTAATCTACAGGAGCTGTCCTCTCTCTATTCACAAAGCTAGTTTCTTTTGATTACTTACCTACTGACAAAGGGAATAAATAAAAGGAATATGAAATACTTGTGTTGGCCCAGTACAATTTTGTTCCCTGACACAGAAGTAATATGCTCAGTGAACCAAGACAAATTAGTATTGTAGCAGTGGGGATGTTTGCAGTAACGCTAAGAATGATCTGTGAACTCCAAATTAACAACCCTGAAGGTTAACCATTGATAATCTCAGAAGTTGCTTTTAGCGCACTCTTAGTGCATTAAGAAAACTGTAAACTCAAGCTGAGATCAGAGCTGTTCTTGAAGTATAGCTGAGCTTGGTGATGAGGGGAGTTGAAGGGAAGAGTGTCAATGTCCTCTTTAGCCTTGTAATCAATAACATCAATGCAAAGGTGTTTTAGAATACCAGGACCTATAGGTCATGGTGTGACTCAGGATGTGAGCTGCTGTTATATGAAGGAATTTCCAAAGTTAAGTTTTTCCTCAGTTCTCAGCTTTCACAAAATTTAGACTGTGTTTATCCTGAAGGCTTCAGCTGGGAGTGGCATGGAGAGCAAGTGTAATGTCCTACCTCAAGCTGTAGTTGTTGTTAACTTGATTTTTTTTTTTTCCCCTTGTGGAGAGGGAACCCAAGCCTAGTGCTTTCCTTATCTTCCACCTGCTGTGCTAGAGGTTTGTGACGGACAGTAGTGACCATGCTGAGGAAAAAATCCTGTACTGTCAAGAACTTCTGTAGGTGGTGGTGTTGGTTGCCATAGAGTTTACAGGCTTCTCTCTTACAGAGAGGTGAAGTGATTATATCAGCCAGTTTGGTGAACGCAGCTTAGTTAGCTTCTAGGAGCTTGTGCTGAATAGGAGAAATTACAGCTTCTGGAAAACACGCTTCTTTTGTAGCAAAATGCAGCAATTGGTATGAGATTCATGTTCACTGAGTTGCAGATGTCTGTCCCTGTTTGCTTAACGGTGATGGCAAGCTTCCAGAGGCTCTTCTTCTGTTTCACGTGTTGCGGAAAGCCGTGGCCTGAATAGTTTTGCTGTAGTGACGTTATTGACACCGTTGCCTGCCCTTCCCTTCCTAGTCCCTGGCTCACCTTCAGCTGGAGAGCAAGGCCCGTAACGCTGCCACTTCTCAGAAAACCTTCAGGTGACGCAGAACCACAAGGAGCAGCTTGGGCATCTAAAGGTGATCCCACCCATCTTCCACACTTTACAGGGCAGCAGAAGAGAGGTGGGAGCACTCCTTCCACTGCAGAAGTGGCTGAAGGGGGCCATGAGGAGCAGGAGCTGTTGTTTGTCCTGCTTCTGGCTTCGAGTCTCCTCCAGGAGCTGTGGCTGCCATTCAGGTGGTGCCCCTACGTGAGCAGAAATACGGGGGAGGAATGGGGCAAAAAGGCAGAAGTCAGGTCAGGGCTGTAGTGCTTTTCTGGGGATCTTTCTGCTGCCACTATGGCAGTTCAAAATGACTAGAGGAGGCTGTGAGGGGAAAGGTAGCAGTTTCTCAAGTTGCCATTTGCTCTGCATACTGGCTTGAATCAAGTAGCCAGAGAAGGTATATTATAAGGAGTATTTTATTTTTCGAAACTTCTGATGCGGAGGGTGGTTTATGAATGGAAGGGGTGTTTTTTTCAGACTCTAGACAGATACTGCCAGCTGCTCCATTCCTGTTTTATCCAAAGTGATTTCGCTGTTCATATTGTCTAGAAAACTGTGCTTGGCTACTTGTTTTTCAAATATTGCTGTATTTCCCAGTGCTTTCTTCAAAATGTTCTAGCTAGCAAAAACAATTAATTGTGATAATTTGTCATATTCTGCCATCACCATCTTTGTATATAGATTTTTTCTTGTCCCCTGAGCCAGAAGTACAGAAGATGCTTTCTTGACAATCGAAATCATAAATCTAGGTGCTTTTTTCTATCTCACCCTGAAAATACATGGGCTAGGAATTGTTAGTTCTCTTTTTCATTCTTGTTGGTGCTGGTGAATTTGAATATTATGATACCAGGGAATATTTGGGAGCTGTCTAATCCGAAACACATATAGACAAGTGATTGTGGCAGCAACACTTGTGGCAACAACAGGGAGTTTGTATGAGGGAGTGAACATTTGCCTGTGAGGGGATGCTGGGCAAAGAGGGATAGGCAGGAGGAATCAGAAGTATTCCAGTGACCCATCTTCACTCAGAGACTGCCTCCATTCACCACATTTGTGTTTCCAGTTTTCAGTAAGAGACTTTCGTGCTCTTAGGTCTGGTTGTTTCCAAATAAGCTTTGTAGATGCAGTGTGTCTGCAGGGTTTAGAGGTGAAAAGCCTTAATTTGGATCCAAATGAAATGGCAAAATGTCAAAACCACCATTTTCTAGAAGTGTCAAGCATTGGACAGCAAATGTGTGCAGCAGTGAGTATTTTATTTGCAGCAGCTACTACTACCGCTAGACGGCTGTGTTGTTTTAAAATACACTGCCTATGAAAATCGGTGCCTAGGAGCTTGGGTTAATTTCTAAAATTTGGTTTCTCAAGGGAAGCGTAATTCAAAGTCAAGGGCAGGTGGGGGGGCGGGGTGGAAACTATTCAGAATCAGTCTAAGAAATTCAGTTTTCTCAAGAGGAGACGTGGTGTAAGATACGTTCAAGTGCTGAGCACCCCTGTCAAGGGCAGACTTTCAAGAGTGCTCGGCTCCCACTGGGACAGCCACCAGGGCCAAGTTTCCAGGCGTGCTGAGTTGTGGCTGCCATGTGCGTGAGTTACTGTGCTTGAGTGGGTTAGGCCACATCAGATGAGTTTCTCTCTGCTGTATTCCCGTCTCCTGTGCCTGTGAGGAAAAAGGTGAACCAAAGCATCTTTCAGTAACTCTTGCATGCCTGTGCTTTCTGTTCCCATAGGGGAGGTTGCTAAAGATGCTCCACGTGCCAAGTTCTTCTGTGTTTTGGTGCCCACAGGGAAATGGGAGCATCTGAAAACTTGACCTCTACTGTGAATGCTGAGGGTCATGAGGGTAACATTAATAGCTGCTCTCAAAATGCCGTGGAGTCTTAACATTTTATCTGGGTGATCACTCTCGCAGAAGTACTTATACTGCTTCCTATCAGCTTTTGATAAACTGGATGGCTTTTATAAAGCAGCCATTGTAAGTTTATAATGCAATTACTCTGTGGTTGGTCTCTCATATACCTTTATGTATAATCTGAACATTAACAACACAGCAGAGTGAAGGTAGTACACGAATACAGAGTAGTCAATGTTAACAGAGTTTTAAAAGGCGTATTTTGATTATAAGGGCAAAGATGGGAAAGATGACACTGTCCTGTTGTTATTGCCCATGTGTATTGGCAGTGTCTTCGAGTGGCTGTTATCAGGCAGGAACCGCGTTGTCTGGAGGATGCAAAAGGCATCCAAAAATGTGCAAAGGCTTCTTCTGGTTCGAGGAGTTACTTGCATTTGTTGTCTAAAGCAGTGTAATCACACTGTATTTGTAATGTAATTAGCCCCTATAGCAAGTGCCAATTGCCAGGCTGTGATTGATTGTCTGTTAATCTATATTTCTTGTTCAGAAAACAGTGCTGGATTTTAACAGTGTGAGTGTCTCTCCAAACAATTGCTTCCCTGAGAGTGGTGAGAAGGATTAGATGAACACCATCTCAGCTTT